AACAAACAATGTTACAAAGAGGATATAAAGATACTGAAACCTACAGACAGATCGAAAAGGCTAATAACACTCAGCAGAAAAACATCCTAAAACAGAGCAATACTAAAGTTCCTAAGGTAATAATAATTCTATATCACTTTAAACTCAGAAATGTTTCACAAATTCTGAAAAAACAGTTTCATCTCCTTCAACTTAACAATCGCCTTAAACAGATATTTCCTGAAGTTCCCACTGTCTCCTTCCAAAAAAGTCAGAACTCTAAAAGATATCCTTGTTCACACAAAAGTGAATTACATCCCACCAAAGAATGGTTGTCATCCACGTAATAAAGCTCGTGGTCAAACCTGTAAGTTCATAAAAACTACTGACTCATTTTCTGATTAACACAACCAAAAAAAAACTTAAAATTCCCAAAGAAATCACTTGTGGAACACAAAACACCATTTACCTTATACAATGTAAAAAAAAAACTCAATCACCAATATGTAGGATGTACACAAACAACTCTTAGAGAACAATGTTAAAAAAAAACTCAATCACCAATATGTAGGACGTACACAAACAACTCTTAGAGAACAATGTAAAAAAAACTCAATCACCAATATGTAGGACGTACACAAACAACTCTTAGAGAACGTTTCAACAACCATAAACTTCTATTAATACCAAAAAAGATCTTCTTGTTGCTCAACACTTTAACCAACCCGGTCATTCCATTAACGACGTAACTCTCATCTGCATTGAAACAGGATTCAAAACTAAAGCAGATAGGGAGATAAAAGAAGCTTATTGAATCACTAATCAAAACACTATTCAACCTTGTGGAATCAATCTAGATCCTGGAATCAATGATCTCCAATGACTGATTTCATCTCTGGCAGAAAAATAACTTTGTTATTTGCTTATTTCTTTCATGTAGCATAAACCCTAATTTTTCTAAAACTTTAAAAAGATAATTTTCCACTTGTATAAATGAATTATATTAGCATCTCTTTTCAATCAGTCTCAAGGTGTCACCTTCATTTTACTTAAACACTTAAATTTAGTTTTATTTATTTCTTTTTTAACCATTTCTAAAGCAAAATATCTCCAACACTTTTTTACATAATGCTCTCATTGTCAGCCACATTGTACTGGAAATGGAACACACAACAGTACATGGAAAAATATATTAAACACTTGCTGGATGACCAGATGATCATCATGATGTCACTCAACTCCATTTATATATCACTCAATCAAATAACCATCATTCTCAGTTTGCCCCTGAACAAGAAAGGTCTATCTTTCAAAAGTGTTCGGGTTAAAGGGTTTTTTATCATTTTGACTAAATAAACAAGTACCATTTTATAGGCAAAAAATTATTTACCTCTGAGAAATGTAAACAAACCAAGCTAAAAACAGTGTCCGACGCTACTACAGAATATAAGTAAGCAAACAATTCCTCATCCACTACATGTATTATGGTTGTATGCTGAATTTTATCCGCATACTTTTCTTTCTGCTTCTTTGTTGATACACCGGATCTACAGTTATAAATTTGCCCAACAGTGAACTTATCTAGTTTCATTCATTATTTATTTTATCATCAGTTGGTTGTATTGATTGCCTAATTTCTTATCCTTGTTGTTTGTCATTTACTTCAATAAACTAATTTACACAAATAAAATATTTACCATAAATTTTATTAGATTTGTTTCTGATACTTAGTTAGTTCTTGAAAGTCACTTAATCATCTGCAGGACATTATAACAATAATGAAAAACATTAACTAGTCCTACAAAATGTTGAGTGATTTCCATCCAATTTAACAGTTTGCTGTGCTGAACACTATATTTACAGTTTATATTCTAACTATTGAAAATTAAGAAAACTTGAAATAAAAGGACATCCATCATGAGCCATGTAAACTTTTGATTACTAACCTTATGAAAGTCTATATCAACTAACAAAACTACTATTCAATCCTCATTTTCTTATAATAGCCAATCAACAGTACTGTAGTCTCTTACTATACATGCTAAGTACTACACATCAGAGTTTAAAGTACAAACAGTCAAAAGGGCATATTTGTAACCACTATGAAACATACACACAAAACCTTTCACAATCAAAGTACATGTACTTTATTAACTCAAAAATATTGAAAACTTTCTTTTCATAATAAAAGACTTTATTACCTACTTTCAAATATATTCAAAACATTTTGAATTTGAAAGTGAAGAAACTTAGAATGTTTTTGACAGCAGTTATTATAAAATTTTTTTTCTAATCTAAGCAATGTCATTTATACACCCAGAAGAGTGTTCTCTTATTTAAAATGATTTAATCAGTTTGTCCTTTTTCTTGGAGTTTGGGTGGGAGGTTCAGTTCCAGAAATATGAAATAAATGACTCAACCATCATGGGGAAAAGTAAAATAAATGAACTGATTCATATTTATCTCGGGTAGAACAACCACAAATCAACTCACAGATTGTATTGACTAACAATCCTATTAAAGCAAAAATGAGAACAAGCTTTTCGTGAGAATGATGCAAGACTGTAAAACTAAATCATACATGAACAATATGCTAGTTAACCCATTCGCTGTGGCTGGGACAAAACTAAATCATACATGAACAATATGCTAGTTAACCCATTCGCTGTGGCTGGGACAAAACTAAATCATACATGAACAATATGCTAGTTAACCCATTCGCTGTGGCTGGGACATATTTCCCAGTGTGCCCACCCCCTCACACTGCAAATGGGATAAATGTTTCCCCATTATAGATGCTTTTTATGCCTTCCTCTGCTGAGTCCAGGTTCATCATCTTGACTATCGTCACTAGATGGAGAGTTAGCATCCTCTTGTCTCATTGACTCTTCATCATCATGCATTTGAACACCACTTGACTCACTTTCACTATCTTCTAAGCTATCCGAGTCAAGTACATCAAGCATATTTGCAAAGTAATTAAAAGTATTACTACTCGCCACTCTAGCGATGTGGGCATGGCCAGCACACAGTTGTCAAACATTCCACTTAGGCTCTTGTTGGTTACTGAAGGGCTGAGGCGGAAAACATCAGGTGGGAAACCACACATCAACACATTAGGTGGGAAACCACACATCAACACATTAGGTGGGAAACCACACATCAACACATTAGGTGGGAAACCACACATCAACACATTAGGTGGGAAACCACACATCAACACATTAGGTGGGAAACCACACATCAACACATTAGGTGGGAAACCACACATCAACATTAGGTGGGAACCACACATCAACACATTAGGTGGGAAACACACATCAACACATTAGGTGGGAAACCACACATCAACACATTAGGTGGGAAACCACACATCAACATTAGGTGGGAAACCACACATCAACATTAGGTGGGAAACCACACATTAGGTAGGATGACAATAAATACTTTCCAACTCCCATACATCAGGTGCAACAATTTTTAATGACAATGGGAAACATTTGTCCAGTCACAGCGTGATGGAGTGGGAGCACTGGGAAGTACACATCCCAGCCTCAATGAAAGGGTTAAGATGCACATGTACATTAGTTTTTATAATGATTCAATATGTATTGTTTTAACCTGTACACAATACACTTTGTATAAATATACTAAACCACACGTATAACAAATTATGCTTTATATGGTGTGGTTATAAAGCTAGCATTCATACTTGGAATAACCCGTAGGGCGAACCAAATAATATACGCAATGTACTTCAGGTATATCCATAAGGTATAGTATACGCACTCCACCAGTCTCTGGAAATGCCACTAGAGGCACCATTCAATTTTACCACCGAAATACTTAATTACGCCCGAATTTCATTACAGTCGTATCCTTCAATTAAAAAATCGTTGTTGGGTTATGGCGAGAGAGAGACCAAAATATTCAGAAAGTTTCATAAGCTAGAAGTCAGCACAGGCAAGGCTGGAACAGTGGGGTGACCAAAATTAACCAAAGTGAGCAACAATTTGTTTACAAAAGTGGATGTGAGACAAATCATTCTCGTGCACGAAAGTGACAACTAACACTGTCATTTAGATGCACTTCTAATCTAACGAGTACGACCCACATCTTGTGTCAGTCCTAGAGTGCTGTGTCAGAACTGTAGCCATTTTGATGGTACAGTTCCACAGAGACAATATGCTGCAAGTGAAAGAATAATACCCGACTGTTCCATCTTGTTTTTATATTCCAGCCTAACGTGTATATATAACAACATGTGATGCCAGTTCCAAAAACCAGTGGAATGCACTTCCCATGCTTTCTCAAGAATTCATATATGACTAGAGCTGGGTAATGTAATCAATACCTTTAAATATATAAACTGGAATTAGTGTTTCTGATTATTACAATTAAATCCGCTGTTATGAAATTAACAAATAATTAAAACTAGGTTTTCCAACTATCCAAGTAATTGAAATACTGTTATAATATCTGCTTGTTGTTAAGCGCAAAGCAACATAATGTGCTATCTGTGTTCAGCCCAATTACATATCCTTATCAGTTTTGTTTTTGCAGTTCAAGTTTAAGTTTCATGTTGTTTTTTTGGAAGGGGAGGGGCTACTGGTCTTGGGTTCAATTCCCATTGCCACTAAACCTGTTCACCTTGCCTTCATTATGGAAAAACTACTAAGGCTATCTATCATTGTCACTAAATTTGAACTGTTAACTGAAGGGAAGACAACTTTTTCCTTTTGTTTTAATTTTTATTGACTAAATGCAAGGTAACTTGGGTAGCAGCACTTCCTGCACACTTTCTTTTTCCTTATATGTAACATGGCTTCAAGAACACTTTACTAATTGATTAATCAAGTATAATGTATTAACAGGACCATCAATTAATCAATTAGCAAACACCACTAATCACTCAGCTCTATGTATGACTTAGACTATAGCCAGTTTCAAGTACCCATACTGTCTTTACAACTACAATACATATACACATGCACTGCTACAAATATGAAAAAAAAACATACCTTAATTATGATAATTTCAGGATTTATGTCATCTATATCCACAGATATTTTGAAAAAAACATCAACTCCATAATTCTTATGAAGTCTTTCAACCAATTTATCTACATCCCATCTTTGCAAAGACCATGTATTGGGAACAATATTCCATCCTCCAAGCTCATTTATCTTGTTTCTGAGGTTATTAAATGAAGAATACTCTATATCTTCAGTTTTCATGCAAGATGTAAAAAATCTCTTAACTTTCCACTCTGGTGTTCGCTCATCTGCCCTTGAGGGTACCAAATCAATCAAATAACGTAGCTGATGAAATATTTGATCTCTCATCACATCTTCAACATTCCTCGAACCTTTATCGTCAGTTAGATTGTGAGTTTTCATCCAATTTCCACATGAATATACCCAAAAATTAGTGCAAGGATCATAAGACGTATCCATTCTTGCTATTGCATCAGCTGCAACTTTTAAACACCCTGAACTTAAACACCGAGAAGGGCCTGGCTCCTGTAAGCGTTTCAGTTTTACTGCAAATACCAACATCACAACAAATACAATAAACAGAAGTACACATAAAATTATGATCACTAGAAGGGCTTTCATGTTAGCAACACAAAAATCCTTCCATGATTTTTTTTTCTTCTCATCTTCCTTCTTGTTTCCAATGCATTTGTCATTTTCATTGGGGTCTGCTTTTTCTTCATCATTTCTTTTATCAGCCATCGTACCTATATGTATAGAAGATAAAAAGTTATAAATTATTATCTTATGGCTTAGGCTCAAAGAACTCTACTTCTACAGTCAAAAATAAAAAATGTTGGTATAAAACTTAACAGCATCACTTATTTGTGAAAATACTGTTCCAAAAGTGGAACACAAATGATGAATCCTCAAACTTGTAATCTGACACACTAACACCATTAGATCACCTCCATAACTATATAAGAACATCAGAATAAAAAAAAAATACTAAAAGCAATTTGGCCCACCAGGGTCAAATCATCATAACAATCAACCAAAGCATCAAACCCAAATTAAATGCAGTCTTTAAAATCCATACTGCCACACAACAAGAACTTGAATAACATTTAATTAACAAGCCACACTACATCATCAGGAAAACATTCCACAAATTCATAACTCTAGTACACAAATAATGTTTTCAAAGAAAGAAGTCTAGATAATGAGACAATAAAAGCATAAATTCATTAACCCTAATAATGAAGACTGCATTCTTAATCCTTTATTCTACCATTGAAACAGGTTATCAAGCCCTTAAGTTTTATACGCTTCAATTATATCACCTTTTATCTCTACTATACTCCATACAATGAAAGTCCCCAAAAACTAAACTTTTTCCTTACGAATTAACTTTTTAGAACCCATTTCTCAACTCTTTCCAACATGTTAAGCTCCTCCAACAGAAGAGCACAAAAACTGTTTCTCCCCCTCTCTCCAAGTATCATATCTGGGCAGAGCATTACCAATCATGGTCTTCCACAGGTTCTTATTTTTCGTTGTTTTCAACACTTCTTCTTCACTCACATTCATCCATTTACCGAGACTACGTACGCAAGTCAGTCTCAGCCTAACCATACCTCAGTTCCCTGTTACTGCTAAACTTTCTAGCTTTTCTCATTACGTGACCCAGGAACTGAAGTTTTCTTCTAATCGTTGTTATTGCTCTTCTCAGTTCCTCCTCATTCGTCACATTATCCATCCACGATAACCTCAACATTCGTCACATTATCCATCCACGATAACCTCAACATTCGTCACATTATCCATCCATGATAACCTCAACATTCGTCACATTATCCATCCATGATAACCTCAACATTCGTCACATTATCCATCCATGATAACCTCAACATTCGTCACATTATCCATCCATGATAACCTCAAC